AGGAATGCCAAATCCAAGACCCCAGCCAGCATTTTCTTGAATCCACACAATAAAAGTGCTGGATACAAGGGCACCTATGTTGATAGAAAAGTAAAACCAGTTGAAAAAGGAACCCTTCTTAATCCTTTCCTGGGGATCAGTATCATCAAACTGATCTGCCCCAAAAGATGACACACATGGTTTTATTCCACCAGTCCCAAGTGCAATTAGGTAGAGACCAAAGAAGAACACAGCATATTGGGCAGGTGTAGCAGGAGGGCATACAGTACCCAAACACTCTGTAGGCTTCAATGCTGGAACCGATGCAGAGAGAGTCAATGTACCCATCCCCTGAATGGAACAGCCACGTTGCATATTAAAATAAGTATAGACCACTGAACAACAAATATATCAAAGCAAAAGATGCACAGAAAACAAAATGATGACAAAGAATACCAACATGTTCATACAAACACCAAGTCTTCCTGATATTAACACTATAACTTCTCATATGTGATGATGCATTTGAAAACTACATTCAGTGCTCAAGAGGTTTCTGCAAAAACTCCTTACTTCGATGCTAAGAAAATCAGATATCAAGTAGAAGCATTGCAATGGAAGAAATAAGTTTGAAACACAGTACACTCAAAACTGGTTTTCTGATTCTCCCTTTTCCAATTTTTTTTGACTGTGTAAGATTTTCTGTTCTTCCATATCCTTCACCATTTTCTAATTGTTTTTATGATATGACATGCATAAAAGAATCATATTCCACATACAAACAAGACCTATAAAATCATCAAATAACAACCTATCACCATTACAAATTACATTTATGTAAAATACTGTATAATGGATATTCCTTGACAGTGCCTACAAATCTTATGCATAGATAAATCCTTGGCATATTGTAGGCGTGTATTTTGCTTCATCTCTATTATGCACAGATAAATCCTTGGCATATTGCAGGCATGTATTTTACTTCATCTCTATTATGCATAGATACATCCTTGGCATATTGCAGGCATGTATTTTGCTTCATCTCTATGAAAGTGTAGGACATTTCCAGCAGTATATCAAAAGAGGGATGTGTGTGGAACATAATGTGATTAGGAAAATAAAGTTATCTTTGTCAGTAATTACTAGGAAATAAATTGTGGAGAAAACAGCAATTGTCCAGTATCGTCCCCAGTATGCATCTGCCAAAACGGCTCCAATGAGAGGTGCAAGATAGCAAGTGCCTTGCCAGGTAGTGACATTTCTTGCAGCAGAGGCATTTCCTTCATGCAGTTTCTGGGTAAGATAGGTAACAAGATTTGTTGCAATGCCATAATACGCCAAACGCTCACAACACTCATTGCCTGTGATTCACATTTCATAAAAATGCAATCAACAAAAAAGAATATTATTCAAGCATATGAGCAATGAAAAAACTTACCTAAGATAAACGGGCAAGCTTTCCAGTTGCCAGTATTCTGCTTAAGAACAGGCCTCCCTTTAAAGTCAACTGATCCATCTCCAGTGTATTGTTTGCTGTCTTCATCCTTCAGTATAAAACAACCAATTATTCAGCGTGGAGCAAATACCACTTCTTGGCAAAGGTTCAAACAGGAAAGGACAAAAAAGGCACCGACTATATGAAATATTTTTCTGTTCCAAAATTTAAATCTTGAAGACCAGCATTTTATGTTTAACCATCAAAAGTATAGGAAAGGGGGAAAAACATAGAAACGAACAATTAACCTAATATAGATGGTACGAAAATTAAATGGAGAGGACAAAATTGAAAGGTACAGCAAATATTATTTACCCTAAAAGTTACCATTTTGCCATATTAACTTGTATAAGAACAGCTTGACTTGAATACACTCCCTAATAGCCCAGTTTGTCTTCTCCTTATCTCAGTTAATAACCAATTAAATCTTGCACTTATTTCTATTCCAGGTTTCCAAACAATTATAATTTGAAGAAATAAACATCCTCGTAAGTGATAACAATTTAGAATTAAACATGATTGAACTTGTCCCAATTAAAACAAACATTCCACTGTCCCACCCCACCAATGAAAACGAACACCAACAAAAAGCGTAGTGAATTTTATATTATTCTAATTTCTTCCAAAGCCAAATGAGATGGTTGACAAAACCAAAAGCAAGCACTTTGCATCATTCACCCTTGTCCCTTAGGCATTCACCAACTCCATCAATATTAAATTACAAATTCTGAGAAGCTAGGCCAAAAATCAAACTAAATTAAATTAATAAATAAAAAGGGTAGGGGAAGAGGGTGACCTGAAGAAGAGCCTCTTCTGCGAGCGACAATTCGTTCTCTCTGGAACTCATTACTCGTTCCTACCCTGCGAAGAGAGAAGAGTGAGGAACGTCACAATTTAAGGATAGATGAGTCCTCTCCTCGGAATGCTCAAGAACCGCAAAGCAAATGTTTTTGTTGCTTGCAAGTTGCAAATCAATAGAGTTTGTGTCAGAGAGAGCAAGTTGATGCAGAAGAAAAATGAGAGAGAGAAAAAGTTTTGTTTGCTTCCCCTTCAAGGTGAGAAACCCGATAGAGGAAGCGACCAGTTAATAAATTAAAAATATCTGTGATTATCCTATTTTTCCCATAATGTCGCTGCCTCGTGGGGTGGCTAATGTTAACAAATACCAACAACAAATTCTACCAGTAACAACCTGTCGTCTAACGGAATTAATAAAACCATTTATCCTTAGTTGGATATTTTGTCAACTAAGTTCGAGGATTTTCGGAACTTTCTCACCTAATTTTTTTAATTTCTAATTTTTTTTATAATTTTATATACTTTTATCACTTTATTAATTGATAGTCTAATGAAATTAATTAATTATTAATTATTCACGTGTTAAGTTGGCTACTCATAAAGCACATACAATTGTAAAATTAGTCAAATTAATGTCTCTTATAAAATAGATTGTCTCACCTTATCTTAAGTTTCTTATCTTAAGTTTCTTTTGAATCACTTATGATGGGATCTAGTTTAATTTATTGACTCTTTAGTAAACGATTATATTTTTTTATTTTTTTTATTTTTATAATTAAAAATAAAAATAATACAAGGCCAAATTGACTTAATTATTTTTGGGCTGTATGTTCTTACTAGTTGTAGTTCATTAATAATTGTGTTATGATGATTTAGTATTGTGAATTATTGAAAGACTGTGAGGATTTGAGGAATTCTTGCAAGTTTAAGTAGTTTTGAGAATTTTCTAGTTAGAAGTGAGTCTAATCTTAAAGGGAAAGGTATATAAAGTTTCTTTTGAGATTTGAACTTCATATACTCATTTTTTTCAAAGTACTTAGAGAGAAAGAGTAGTGAGAGACACTCTGGAAATTAAGGGTGATATTTCTTCCTTCTAATTCCACAATGGAAGTTTGAATCCTTCCCTAGAGATCTTAGAGTTGTTGTATTGGTGAATTTAAGCTTGAAGAACTAAGAATCGGTGTTGGTGAGAAGTGTTCAGAGTTTCTTAGAGTCATCTTCTTCTTCCTCTTCTCTCTTGAATTTTTGAGATTTTGAGATAAGAGAAATTAGGATATTGTTTTTGTTGTTGTATGATGTTGCATGTTGCTTAAATTTCATTATGGTTGTGTTGGTGGAATTTTGATTGAATGTTTAAGGTGGGAGCTTTGTGATTCATGAAAGGTGTGAAGAGGAAATTGATGATCTGACCAAATTGTGTTGTTGAATGTTGATTTTCTGTTTAGATTTCGATTGTTCATGATGTGTATATATGAATTTGTGCGATGCATGTTGATTCTTTTGGGTTTCAAGTGGTTTGAGTCTAAATCGTAATTCTGCCAAGTTCAGATTTCACTATGGCATCGGGTGTAGCTTTAAGGCGCCCAACATAGTTTAAGTCAAGAGGCTCTTTGTTTCATTAACGCTGAGTGCAATATTGGTGGTGTTGGGCATGGGTAAGTAGCTCTCTAACTTGGTCATTTCGAGCATGGGTTGAATGGCGTCGCATGTGAAAGCTTTGAAAGTCTTTGACTTGGTGATGTTGTGCCCTAGTTGAGTGGCACCAAGTGTGACCAAGGTAGGACTCTCTACCTAGACGTGGTCGGGTGCTAGTGTAGCGGCATCAAGCACAAGTCAGGTAGAGACTCTCTGCCTAAACAAGTTCGAGCATGGATTTTGGTCACGCCAAGTGTGAGAGCAACAGGGACTTTTTGCCTCATTCATGTCAAACGCAAGTAAAGTGGCGTTGGACATGGACGAGTTAAAGACTCTCTACCTCATTTCACATTAGGCACAGGAATAGTGACATTGGTTGTGAATTATCTTAGAATTATATGTTTTTTATATTGTTACAAGTTGAATGTGTATAGGTTTGTGGAATGTTTTACATATTTTCTGATAATTAAGTTGTGTTATATATCATTTATTAATTTATGATGTTGAACCCACATACATAATTAAATGGTTGAAAGTTGTAAGTTGAGGTGTATGTTGAAATGTTGAGGTAGTGGTATTGAGAATGCTTAAAGCATGGAATTGTACTATGTTGATTGACTTAAGACTAAAGGAGAGGTTGTTTTTAAAGTGGCATATCCCATTATGATGATATTGTGTTGTGGCGCTCCGAGAATCCAGTTTGTTCAAAAAAATTCTTAAGAAGTTGACTCTTGAAGTGGATAGTTGAGTTTTCTCTAAGGCCTTAGTTGATGCACCATATGAGCTAGGTTGAGGCATACTGACTACAAGCAACTATCGTTGATCCAGACATGGGCAAGGTCGAGATATATGTGTATAAAGTGACCAAACTAGAGTAAAGTATAAGGTCAATGGCCAAAATCCCTAACTAAGTACTAGAAAGCATAGTATTTGGAGGATAGTCGATGGGTCAATCTCATAGGTGGCTAGTTATGTTAGTTAATGTCATGGGAAGCTCACACCTAGGTTGTCTAACTTAACAAGAATACTAGACTTCCAAGTTTAAGTAGCGAAATTCGAGAAACCATATTGTATTGTGAATTTTATTCAAATTGGTTGTTGATCTAGTTGGATTGAAAAGATTGGGTTGTTGGTTTGGTAGGGTGTTGATTTTCCATTTTGGGTTACTTTCTCTTTCTGTTAAATGTAATGATATTTCTTACCACGAACTCAAAAACACGGAAACTATACCGACCGTTCAAGTAATATAAAAGATTGTATCCACAAAGACTAAATAAAGTAAAATAAGTATTTAATGACTATTAGTGACTAAAGAATGATTCCATTTTATACCTTGTTTTGCATATGGAATTAAATAGTATAAACTACTCTAAAAATAGTTTTTGGAGATAGTTTGTGTGTGGAAGAGATAATAAATGATATTGCGGAATTATGAATTATGAGGGTTAGATTTCACTGAACTTCACTCTTATGTAATTAATTCTTCTCTTGTTACAAATATTGTTTAGTCAACCCATAAGTATACTCAAACCTAATTCCTTAGGGACAGAGCCTAGGACATATGTTGGATATCAATCCCTTGAGTAACCAACCTATGAACCTGCCTTAATGGCTAGGGTTTGAGACTACTAATGGGTCAAGCTTCATTCATAGATACATTTTCCACTAGGTATCTTGTTTTAGAACTAGTTTCAAGGGTTATTTCCCAATATCCAATGGACCCTCTATCAAGCAGTGGGAGATCAATCCAAAGCAAGCATTAAGAATAGAAACATAATACAACAATGAATGAAACAAGCCTTTGTCATTAATAGGATAAACAATACATGAGAGTTTAGTTGGTTACATCTAACCCCACAAAATATATGGGTACAAACACTCAAAACTATAAGGGCAAATCAAAAGTAGAGATGGAAGAGAAAATGGAACAAAAGGAAATATCCACACACGGCATGGTCCCAAGCACCGAGAATCCCTTCCACAGCTCCTAGAAGTTGTTCCTATGTGAATGAGGGGAAAACCCTTGATAGTATGCCCTAAAATGAGCTGGATGAGTCAGATCAAGGTTCTTACACCTGGTGAAATATAGTTTTGCGCTCGACGTTAATGTCTTCCAAAGAGCAATGTTCTTTGCCTTGAGTCACACCTGATGCAAGAACACACAAGCCCGGCACAATTTGTTTCTCTAACTCCTTAGCTTATCATTTTCAGCTCTATCAAGCTTCAATCCAAGGTATCCTCAATACCAACCTCTTCTACTTAATACCTACACAAAAATTAAGGTGTATCAGGATATTGTTAGATAATTTTCAAGTTAGCTATGTATTCACAAAAAAAAAATTGGATTAAAAGAGAACAAATATTGTGCAGGGTTGAATGAAGAAGTTGAAATTGTCCATTAGTTTGAAACAAAAAATAGGTAACTATGAGACTTATCATAGGGTCAAGCCACTTAGATTACAAGTGACTATTATTGATCCATATGTGGGTAAGGTCGAGACAATGTGTATAAAGTGACCAAACTAGAGTAAGGTATAAGGTCAAGGGTCAAAATCCCTAATTAAGTATTGGAAAGGCATAGTATTTGGAGGATAGTTGGCGGGTCAATCTCACAGACAACTTAGGTGTGAGCTAGGTCAAGGAATATATGCAGGCAAGGTTGAGACATATGTGTATAAAGTGACAAAACTAGAGTAAGGTATTAGGTCAAGGGCCAAAATCCCTAACTAAGTATTAGAAAGACATAGTATTTGAAGGATAATAGGCGGGTCAATCTCATAGGTGGCTTAGTTATGTTAGCTAATGTCATGGTAAGCTCACACCTAGTTGTCTACCTTAACAAGAATACTAGACTTCTAAGTTTAAGTAGCGAAATTCCAGAAACCATGTTATATTGTGAATTTTAATCAAATTGGTTGTTGATCTAGTTGGATTGAAAAGATCACTTTGTTGGTTTGGTAGGATTAAACCACTTAGAATGCTCACTTGTATTGTAAAACATCTTCTAGTTGAAATGCATGATAACACATATAGTTGATTTGTTCTGCATATGCAACTAATACTGTTAAGTTGTGTGATGCATATGTTTAGTTGTGTTGTGGTATATATATGTTGTTGAGTTGATAATTTGTGTTGTAAATATATTGTGTTATATGGTTGATGAGTTATTGTGTTGTTAACTTGCAATTTAAGGTTATGTTGTGCCATGTTGAGTTGATTGTGTTGATAGCATAGTGTGATTTCCTGTTATACTATTTATGTTGATTTTTTAATACTAGCTTTTCCTTGCATGTTTTTTCTGTGATTATACTATAATAATCATACTTAGTATAAGAATACAGTAGGGATAGGTTATTGGTGGAGTTCTTTTAAGGCCATGTTGGTGATGACGATGTTGTTCTTTTGGGCTACTTTAAAAGTAACTAGTTTGGTAGTTGTAAGTTGTTGCTTGACCAACAACCTAAGGTTATATATTACAATTTTTTTATTATAGTATATACATATATGTGTACTTATATAGTATTTCAATTATTGATATAAATTTTGTACATGTATATATATTATCACTTGTATATCCAAGATCTATTGTATATTAATCCTAGGTAAAAGTATGTATGTTTTTTGTTGTTGCTTGTAGTGGAATCATTAAGTGTAGGGACCATTACAAGTTGTTACACTT